CAGAAGCAAGAAATGTAAACAAAAGTACAAGAAGCGGCCTGCTAAAATGTTTGGAGAAAATATTTTGTAGTCAAAGATGCAAGTGAACTGATCTCGCCAATCCAACAAATTCCGTAAAAGAGTCAAATCCACACACACACACGGTGAAAAACAAGATTCCAACCCATATCATCAAATCATGTCTATGCAGTGTGGAAATGTTTCTGCATAACTGACCGAGTAAATATGATGTACCAACCATCACAATAAAGGTGTCTCTGACTTTTCAGTTCACTACCAATGATATGGTACAGCAATGACTGGGGGCGATGAGAGGAGCTGCCTGCAGATATCACTTGCATGGAGGGCCATTGGCCTAGGCTCATGATGGCTAATCTGTGGCATTCCAGCTGTTGTGCATTGCATTTACATTACTGCTCAGCCAGCTAAATAGCTAAAAGTGAGCTACCAATACTTTATGAACCTGTATATTCATTCAGAGGACCATATATACTCAGATAAAGATTACCTATAAGGCGGCATAGACAGCTGCCTAAGGTCCTTGCTATGACCTCCCTACGCTGGCAAGGAGATGAGAATATCTCCCTGCTTGGCCCTGTGCCCCCTTACTTCATCGAGGGAGCTTTGTGTTCTACACATCTATTTGGTGAAGGTCACTTTAAGAGCTCCTTCACGTTCCCAAGGAGCTTCTCAATGACTCAGACTGCCACAGCAAGCACTCTAAGTCATTGACTGAGTGCCGGGAACTGCAAGGGAGCTCTTACAGTGGTACGCACCTGATGGGGATAGGAGCCATCAGGGATTCAGCTGCTCAAATTATCCTTCACAAGACCACCAGGGATCCAGGCCAAAATGTCCTCCAGGGATCCAGGCCAGAATGTCGAGGGTAACAGCCCCTCCTGTGTAAAGATAAGAAGGAAGGAGACAAAAGAACTATTTCCCACACAAACAAAATGAAACACCATACACACAGCACTCAGCAACTGCACACACCCTCACAAAAAAAACAGTCTTCCTCACACACATATAGAGCACTCAGCCACCATACACACACACACAACTCACAGAACAGAGCCCAGGGTTCTAGGAGGGAACGCCAATCTGCCATTTTGCATAGGACACTTGGACATCTTGAATATACCAATGGTTCATTCTAAAGTGCTTGCTTCTCTCTCCTGTGGGCACTGTAACCCCACCCCCTGTGCCATAAGCTAATGATGGCCTCTTAATAGACAGGTCAGTTGCATGCCTCCCCGTGTGGACAGCTGGCTCTGCTGTCCGAAAGGCAACTCAATGGAAATTCGTAAAATTCTTTCTTAAAGGACACAAGGCATGTGCAAATCCTACTGAAAAAAGGCAAATTTCAAAATAGTCCCATTTTGAAATGCCTAGATTCTCCAGACAGTTACCAATAAAGGGGAGGGGTCCTGCAGAACTGAAACCTTTTACAGAATTTAAAAAAAACAATTCCCCCCCCCCATATTTATTTGGCTTACAACCCTCTCCTCCATAAAAAAAAAGAATCTTAGTGTTTTTAAGCTACTGCAAATATTTCATCCCCCCACATAAAAACTGGTGAGGTGCTGCCCCAAGTGCCCTTATGGACAAGCCTCCCCTGATAGATAGTCTAACATATTCAATCTCTGAGTACATAGCCTCTCTGGGGCAATGATGCACAGCCAGTGTGTTATGAAAGATAATTAATACATAAATAATAAATTCACATTTACAAAGTGCTGAGCATAGATTTTCTTCACGTAGTGAGTCACTGACCCACAAATATTACGAGTTAACTTGTGCCTCAAGCAACAGAACAAAGATGAAGAAAGGAGTTCAAAACTCCCATGATGCTTTGCCATTTTTAAGCATTTGCCTATTGGCCATGACTAAACCTTGTCTTGACTAAAGCACACACAGGGTACTATAATAGTGACATAAGTATTAAATGATTATTATTTGGACATATTTTTAACAATAGCATCTTAAACTTGATGCGGAAGTTAATGCATAATCTAGAAATTACACAATTAAGAATTATAATTAAGTTTGAAAAATATATTATATATAGAGAGAGAGAGAGAGAGAGAGAGAGAGAGAGAGAGTTACAGGTGTGACACTTCGACATTAACACTGACAACTTAATTATATGAGCCAATACATACCACAACACAACACTAAACAAGAATGAGACATCGTTATGTCAGTGAACGTATTGTCTTCATTTTCCCATCTTGTCATTTTTTTATTTTTGTCATTTTTTAATTTTTTTTATCTATTTGCACGAATTTTGCCATATTGGTAACTAATGTATTAGGATTTATTCACGGAACAGTAAGTTGTGCGGTACTGAAAGCTGACAGTTATATATGAAATAATAATAACTCTCCACCAATTAGCTAAGTTCCCGTGCTTACCTCAGGAAAGCTAAAAAAAGTACTGTAGTTTTTATGGTGCTTGGAGTGTTCCGATTAATATGAGGTTGTTTTTTTTTTGTTTATTTTTAGCTATATAAGATGCAATTATGTTTCCTGGCCAATCCATGTCAGCATCACCTGTGGGATAGCTCCTCCCCTCCTCCCTCTCAGCTGATAGGACACAAATCTAAATTTCAAATGATGGTATATGAGGAATCCACCTCCCCAGAATAAAGTCTTTTTTCCTGTCCTCCAGCTGTTAGGCAGCACAACAGTTTTATTTTAAAGTTCACCTGCCATTAGTTTTTTGTTAGGGGACCCCTGGGGAGTTCAGCCTCCCTCCCCAAGGAAGAACCCAGATACAACCCAAGCAGTTTGGGACTCCCTGGGTAAAGATTACTATGATAGATCATAGAAATTGAAGATTGGACTTTTCTGGAAGAAGTAAGAATGTCTCTTCAGTGGTGCATGAATGTAGAAAATATCAGGTGAGGCTTCCTGCTGGGGAAACCAGAGTCGGAATTAGAGACCACAGATGCCAGCGGAAAAGGTTGGCAAGCTCAATACATCTTCCAGGACAACTGAACGATGTTGCTCACACAATGTACATCAAAGAGAATGGAAACTGTGTTCGGATACGTTCAAGCAGACATGCAATCTTTGAGGAACACCAGATATAGATCTGATGGTGAACTACAGGAACAAACAAGTTCCCCTTTTTCATATTCCATAAGATTTGACCCAAGAGTAAAGGTCAAGATGCCCTAACACAGATATGGATTTTTTGGCTGGGATATGTATTCCCTCTCCTTTCCCTCTCCTTCCATTAATCCAGATAACTTTCAAAACGAACTTGAAGGAAAATGTAGAGGTGATATAAATTATTCCTCATTGGCCACTGCTGTTAAGTCTTTTACAAGGAGTTTCTTGGGAACTGCAAATCAAGAAGAACTTATTACCACAGGGCCCAGTTCTCCACAAAGATCTTGCAAGACTCCGTTTGAAGGCCTAGAGATTGAGAAGAACTTTATGAAAGCTAGAGGCTTATCAGATTATGTAGTGGAGACTATTCTCAAAGCTAACAGTCACACTACATCAAAAGTATACAATAGAATCTAGAAAGCTTTTGTTGATCTTGGGAAAATTTCTGAAACTCTTAATCTTTTACAAAAAAAAGTTTTACAAAATGGTGTAAATGAAGGTTTGAGCCTCAGTTCTCTTAAAGTACAATTATCTGCAGCAATGAGAATTAGACCACCTGTTAAAAACGTCATTCCAACATGGGACTTGCCTACAGTTTTGCATATTTTGACAGTCACACCCTTTGAGTCTATGGTTCATCATCTTTAGGGGTCTGAACACTGAAATGTGTTTTCCTTGCTGCCATCCCCTCAGCCTGAAGAGCTTCAGAATTACAAGCTCTTTCATCTGATCATCCTTTTACTCAATTTGTTTGAGATAAGGTGGTTCTAAGGTTGGTTCCGATATTCATTAAACAAGTTCCTTTCCTAATTTCACCTGTACCAGGAGATTATCCTACCTTCTTTATTGGAAAACCCTTCTCCTGAAGAAGAATCCTTTAGGCATACTTTGGACATGGTTAGGTCTTTACGCATTTACCCTTATCGTACTAAAGAATTTAGTAAGTCAACTAGACTTTTATTGTACCTTTTTGGGTTACCATAAATGTATATCTGTCTCTGTTTCTACTGTCAGGAGATGGATTACTACTGCGATTCAGAAAGCTTACAGAGTTACTGACAAACCAGTGGTGGAAGGTGTTAAAGCTCTCTCGACTAGGGCTGTCTCTGGCTCTTTGGCAGATACTTCTACAGAAGAATTTTATAAGGCTGTAGCCTGGTCATCTTTCAACACTTTTGTGAGCCACTATCGCCTACAAATTTCAGGCTCATCTGCCTCCTTATTTGGGAAAAATATCCTACTTCTGCAACTAATGTTTGATTAAATTTGGTTTAACACTGATATGGTATAATACTTTTTTTTTTTTTTATCACCCACCCTTTTCTTTTGTTGACATGGATTGGCCAGGAAAACAGAAAAGTTTACTGTAATTTTCTTTTCCTGGCCAATATCCATGTCAGCATTAACAAACCCTCCCTTTTTTCTGGACTGACTTGGTTACGAGACTGCTTATTCTGGGGAGGTGGATTCCTTATATACCATCATTTGAAATTTAGAATCCTGTCCTATCAGCTGAGAGGGAGGAGCTAACCCACAGTTGATGATGACATGGATATTGGCCTGGAAAAAACAGTAAGTATTGTAACAATTTTCTGTTATTTCAACCACCAGATGGATATATATAGGTAATGGAAGTGCACTCAACCCCTTGTTGTGGAATCCGGGGTGCTCCAATGGACAGGTCCCAGTACCAAAATGGACCAAATATAGTCAATTTTATGTGTAGTTCCTTGTTCCAATAAAATTGCCTATATTTGGGAATTCATTGGAGTGCCTGGATTACTTTCTTTGTTTAATATTAGTGATGTCGCAAACCGTTCACGAACTTCCCGCGAACGGCTCGCCACGGTTCACCACGAACCGTTCGCGGCGAGCTCCGGTCAGCTGACACATCCCTGCCAATATCCAGCAGACCCTCCCTCCCAGACCCTCCTACTTCCTGGACAGCATCCATGTTGAAGGCAGCTTCAACATGGATGCCGTCCAGGAGGTGGGAGGGTCTGGGAGGGAGGGTCTGCTGGAGATTGGCCGGGATGTGTCAGCTGACCGGAGCTCGCCACGAACCGCGGCGAGACGTTCGCGGGAAGTTCGCGAACGGTTCGCGACATCTCTATTTAATATTTCAACCACCAGAGGCATTGCTCTTTGAAACAGTATTATAAAACACACTAATAAAATATACCTGAAAACCTTTCTAATAGATGAATATGGTGCTTTCCTTTCATAAGCTTACAACCATTCACACCATCGTGGGGTTTATTTACTAAACCAAATAAATTGTTAAGAACTGACAGATCAAATGCCAATTTTAGGCTGATGTGGTAAAACAACTGACTGAAAATTTGTCTAGAATTTAACATGCTTTACAATAGTAAATAGCTTGTCAGTTCTCCACCATTTACAATTTATTAAATAAGTCTATCACTTTATACAACGCTGAGTTTTTGCCCATACTTCCTCTGCTTTACGTACTAATATTCTATATTTATAAACTAGATTTACCGTTGCTTAAACCACTGCTGACTTTATTTTAAAGGGATACTCTATGCACCAAAATAACTTTTGCTCACGGTGCCTAGAGGGATATCAGCTATACCTCACTGACGATGCCTAACAAGGTTGAAACAATCTCTAACAGATCTGTCGTGCAGAGAGAACCGGCCTGTATTTTGGATCTGTTGTGCCCTATTGGGTAAAATCAGTCGGAAATGCAAATTGCCTGGTCCTTTTTGTAATGACACAAGATGAGCTAAAACCAACTTGAGAACTGAGCGGGGAACCACCAAAGGGCAGGCTAATCGAGCTGTTGTCTGTTCTCAGCACTCACTTGCAACTTGTATATTTGCTCACCAAAACAACTTTAGCTTAATGAAGTTGCTTTTGTGTATAGATCATGCCCCTGTAGTCTCACTACTTAATGATCTGCCATTTAGGAGTTAAATACTTTTGTTACTGTTTATGCATATCTAGCCACACCTACCCTGGCTGTGACTCAAACACCCTGCATGAAACAAATTGGTTTCATTTTAAATCAGATGTGACTGCACAGTGTGTTTACTTTAGAAATGTTATCAGTTGCTCTGTCAATGGAGCTTTAAACACGCACAGGAAACTCCTGCAGGTTTTGGCAGGCTATTAACAGAGCAGGAGATAAGAAATTTTAAATTAAACAGGATGTGAAATAAAGGAAGTGTAAACATTAGCTCTCGTTTTACAGGAAATGTATAGGAAAGGTTTGTAAGTCATATGCAGGGAGGTGTGACCAGAGCTGCAAAAACAAAGTAATTTAATAAGTGCATTATTTATATACCAAACCACTCTATCATATTACATTGTTTTGGGGATTATAGTGTTCCTTTAATTTATGAATTCTCCTTATCCCCTGTCCCCCATCTTTCACCCCAATCTCATCTGGTTTCATTTGCATCTTTCATTTGCCTAACCTCTCCTTGCTCCATTTATCTGATCTCTCTTATATCTTCCTCAATGTCATCTCTCTCTTCTTTCCAAAGGTTTATTGCTTCATCTCATCTGTGTTCATCTTTTTTTGTCAATTAACTTTTATTGAAATTTGTATGAATTTATGACAAAGTTACACAGAATTCGAAGACACAGAGAGAGTTTATTTTATTTTATTTTGTCATGCATAGATAATACAGATAGTCTTGCAATGCCACAACAGCAATTGCTAGCGTTTCAACAATTGCTTGGCAAAGAGAGGGTTTAATTAGTCATAATCACTGCTATTACACGCAACCTGCTTCACATTAATATTTGAACGACTTTGTAGTGTGTAACTAGAAATCGCATTCTCATAGCAATGAATTAACAAATCCGCTCATAACCATATAATACAATTGGAGCCCCCTGCGAAGAGGGGAGGGGTGAGTAAAGAGCGCACACCAGGACTCCCAAAATAGAACATGGACTGCCTTTGACTTAGCATGATTTGTACACCAAATTGACTTAAGTAAGCTTAAATTGTTTTGGCGCTTATAGTGTCCCTTTACGTCAACATTGTTTTACACAGCTAATTCAAATTCCAGGATTCTATCAATACCTGTGATATGTAAAGACTAACAATGTAACTGTTTGCTTTACACAAATTCTTGTGTAAGACTGCTTATTGTGTCAATACCAAACCCAGTGGTGGCTGGTGAAATTTCAAGATGGCAAAGCGCTAGACTCCCCTAACGGAATTCTACTCTCCCCCCTTTAGTTAATATATGAACATGTGGATTAGCTAAACTCCAAATTGCAGATACTAAAAGGCTGAATTGCAATATCCCCAAATCAATTACACTGACATTTCAATTTGGATTTCAGTTGACTGCCATTCGGAATTTGGGGAATAAACCCCATAGTCTCCCCTATAATTTATTAATCTGAATCCTCAAATTTAATTATATAGCGCCACCTGTTGGGCAAAAGCAATAACAGCAGACCATAATATAAAATCTAGAATCAATTCACAAATTATTTATTTATAAATGTAATTAATTAATTAATGAAGAGAAGGAAAATAGCAAATACTTCCCAGCATGATGGAATTATTAAATTGTGCTGTGCTGGTCAATTGTATTTACTATAAGAATTTGTTGTAACATTTCTAAACCTTCTTGCATGCCTTGCTCCTTTCTTCTTTAAAAAAAAAAATATATATATATATATATTTTCTGGCTTTTTACTGATTCTTGCTTACCAAGTTACCCACTTCAGATTGCAATAGATTGCATTTTTACTCTTTTAATGTTTTGCATCATTCATGTACTTACAATAGTTTGTTAAGGTTTGTTTTGCTATATAGTTATCTTAAAATCAGCAATAAAATTGTCTCATAGAATGTCTTGTTGGTATCTTTGTATTTTTCAGTGATGCTGCTGTTACAGCTGGAATGTGTTTTAAATGTCATGTTCTTTTTTTTTTTCTATTTTAAAACTGACCTTTCTTTTAAGCCACAATGTTTTTCTCTTCTTTCTTTCTTTCTTTTTCTTTTTAATTCTTTATTTTTGCAGTGAGTGCAACATCAAAAAATGAGATTTGTGTGTTCAGGATAGGTGCACAGAACAGCACAGCATCAAGAAATATTAAGGTACAAATATATAACTATCACATTTTAAATTAACAAGGAAGAAGTCATGGTTTTTATATTTTAAACATCAGTATAAAAACAATATATGAATGCTTTCAGGACACAGTTATATCCATGACTCTTCCTTCATGACATTGTAATGATCTACGGGTTTACTTATTCCGTTTGCCACTGTCTCGAACCCATGTCCTGCCCTAAGGCAGAGAGGATAGTAAAAGAACAAGAGAGAACAAGAAAAAGATAGTAATAGAGGGGTTGTTTAGTCGCATTATGAGATGTGTGGCGGTGTGGCAGGGGCAGCAATAGCTGCGGGAGCGCTCGGTGGCCAAGTAAAGGGGTCATCCACACACTATACCATGAGAGTTTGGTCTGCATAAGAGCCTAAATAGCCAGTGTGCAGCGCTCCCAAGGTTCCAAAACTTTTTGAAATGTTTTAGTGGAACCCCTAACCCTAGCTGTCAGGTGATCCACGAGGTAAGTTTCTCGAATTCTTGTTAGTACTACCTCTGGGGTTGGGACAGTCTGTTTTAACCAGTAGAATGCCACTTCCCTCGGGCGGCCAATGTGATTTTATGTATGAGCCTTTGTTCATGTCTAGTCCAACCCTCCAATGACCTTTTCAGCAAATACACCCATGGGTCTAGGTCTTGGGCCCTGTGGAATATCTGTGACAACAGGTCCCTGACCGAGCACCAGAATCTTTCCATGAGTGGGCAATCCCACCACATATGCAGATAGGTACTCTTCAGTCCACACACTCTCCAGCAGTCATCCTTCGGTACTTTATTCATTCTATACAATTTTACCGGTGTGGTATACCAATGGAACATCGTTTTAAAGGATTGTTCCTGCAGGGCCACGCATTTAGAAGTGGTATTGCTAGCCTCCCCGATCTCCTGCCATTCTATTCTCTCCAGCTCTTCTCCCAAATCCTTTTCCCATCGGTCAGTGTAATTTAGTCTACCCCAGTCCGCAGTCTCCGAGCAGAGGTGAGCGTATAGGAGCGTAATTAGGTCTTTAGGCATGACTTCAGATAAACATGTGCGTTTAAAGAACGTCATTGGCTTGGGTACCGCCTCCCTTATATGAGGTTGTTTAACAAAATCCTTAACCTGCAGGTATCTAAAGAAGTCAGATGGTGTGAGGTGTCTCCTTTGTTTAAGTTCATCAAAGGTAATGACCTCCGTGCCCTGAAAGAGGTGGCAGATCTTCTGTAGGCCTGCTTGTTCTATTTGTCTAAAATCCCGAGTTTCCATCCCAGGAGCAAACGCCCTGTTTTGGAGAAAAGGCATGAGAGGCGAAGGGGATGATGCTAATCTGTATTTCTGTATTGATGCGTCCCACACTTTCAAAGAGTTGAGAACTGCCGGGCAGGTAACTCTCAGCATTGGTCTATGCTCTTTGGGGACCCAAGTAATAAATTTAGGGAGATCTGCTCCCAGCATAAGCGATTTTATGTCTTCCCACTTCCTGTCCTCTAGAGAAGAGTGCCACATTGCGATCTGCGTTAGCTGGGCCGCTAAATAGTAAAAATGTTATTTAGGTATGCCCAATCTTTCTTTTCTTTTTAATCGCCATATGCTTTTTATGTGGTTGTTTCCCAAAGGAATATGTTAAATTGACTTTTACCGTCTAATATGCTCAACTGTTCCACTCAGACTCAGTTGTAGGGATGGCACGAATATCTCACTTTACTCCAATCAAAGACTTTGCAAGATGGCTTGGTTTTCCCTCTGGGAAAGGGTGCGATGAAGGAGCAGGTTGATGGGATAAAGTTGTTACTCGTGTCATTTTGTTTTATGTGTTAATTGTAGAAAACAACACGAGAATGTTGCTTACTCAAACCAAATGTAAAGAATGAGATCTTGATTAGCTTTCTCTAACACTGAAAACAACTGAATGTAAAGTTACTTGACATTCTTAATAAAAATGTACTTTAAAAAAAATAATA